GGGCATTACATGGATTGGCTGTTAATAAACTGTATTCCCTAATGTGTCTTATCCATCCTTTCTACATTTTTTTAAGGAAAGTGTCAAATCCAACCCATCTTGCTGTCCTTCTATTTCAAATTGCTGTAAAGAAATGTCAGCTCTGTTCTGGTTAGATCAATAATCTGTGTGCAAAGTATGCTAGACTTAATTGTTTAAGAAATTTTAACTATATATATATATATCCTTAAATCCCAGTGTTTCCAAGCAGCATTCAGTAGTTCCAAGCCAGATATTTGAACTGGAGGATGGCACAAGTAGTTACAAAGATTTTGCAATGAGTAAGAATAATCGCTTCACCAGTGCTGGCCAAGCATCTAAGAACATCATCCAACCACCCTCTTGTGTGCTGCATTATTATAATGTTCCCCTGTGTGTAACTGAAGAAACATTTGTAAAGGTAGGCAGTTGAAATGACTGACATAGTGATATAGTGCTTCGGGGCTCTATCCTAGCTTTACACTGTGCGCATTTAAAAAGAAATAACTGGGATAGTTACAGCATAGCGACTGGAAGAGAACCGATTCTCTATATAGAAGCTGCTATATTTTCACAATTCTGGCATTATTCTCTCCTTTTTTTTTTTTTTTTTTTTTTTCATGTGAGTAACAAGATCTTGGAAATAAAGTTGAGGAGCTTAGTGTGTTTTTTGTGGAGGAAGGGGAAAAGACTCACACAAAGCCAAATACGGGGAAAGTTAGGACTACAGTTTGCAAAAGATTACTGTCTCCCTGAGATGGTTACTCTAATGATTGCTAGGATGTTTCCGAATGGCAAGAAGCATGCACCTGTAACAGTTTGCACAGTTGAGTCCTAAATGAACTCTGGAGGCTTAAAACATGCAATACTGGGCCTCTCAAGTGGAGGCAGTGGTAAAACTGATGACAGTTCAGTGAGTTCTTTTTCAGTTCAAGAAAAATATTTTTTTTCAAGCTCTGTCTGAAAACTAACTCTGGTTCATGAGTGGTGTGCTTGTATGTACAACTTCTGAGCTACTGTATTGAAGTGGGGATGTCAAAAAGAACTTGTTTTTATTTAAATATGTTGTTTGAGTTAGTGATATCAATACGCTAACAACTTTTGTGCCTATAAAATCATATTTATCATGGGACAGCATAGATATGGGAGCCTTGTTTTGCATACTATAGAATGGTATCCTAAAGAGTTACTAATCTAAACATATTTTTAAAATAACAATTTGCCATAAATTCTTGGAAGCTTTCTTAAAGAGTCAGTATTTTCCTTTTTGTGTGTCTCTTCCAGGAACTTGGAATTTTTGCTAATGTGTTTATGTGCATTTTTAGTGGAGTTTTACCTCTTGTTTTATTTTTGTGACAGTTATGTGAGGATCATGAAGTTCTCAGCTTTATTAAATACAAAGTGTTTGATCCAAAACGTAAGTAAACTTTGACCTGTTTGGGGAATTAATTGAATTCCAGTTTTGATAAGAGCATACACTGTCAGGAGACGTTACTGATCCCCTCCTTCTCTTTTTTATTTCTCATTTTGACAGCTTCTGCCAAAACACTCTCTGGTCTGTTGGAATGGGAATGTAAGACAGATGCAGTGGAAGCTCTCACTGTACTTAATCACTACCAGATAAGAGTCCCAAGTAAGTCAGTTTTATACATTTTTTTCTTATTTTCTTTCATGTTGATACTGCCTTTATAAAAGGTGAGGCTTCAGCAGCTTAGTCTGCAGCTAAAAACTGTGTTGTTCTTATTATATGTATATATGCTGTATTTTATATATATACACACATATACAAATACTATATATATTACAGTAATTAGTCTCTAGTTTAGGTTCCATTAGTTTCTATCTAAATGGTACTCTTTCTCTTCTTCGTTTTTGAGTCAACCTATAGAACTCATATTTCGAGTTCCGCAACTTTGAAGTTGTAGAAAGATTGGGAAAAAAAAAAATTGGTTTGGGATAAAAAGGCGGCAGGCAGGAGAAGCATTAAAATCCACTGTCATCAAAACCAAACCTAATGGATAATGTCTTAGGGAAGCTTTTTATATCTTTCGTAATAAATGCAGAGAAATCTGCAATATCTTTGGGCAGAAGATTTTTTAAGTTACACAGCTTACTGCTCTGAATTAACTGCTCCTGTAGTGGGTACTCTTTCAAATCAGAAATTGTGAGGCCAAGCTGAGTTTAGCTCCAAACTAGTAAGAATGGAGGGCGAGTTCACCCGCTAAACAGGTACACAATAGGTCAGATCTGCACTGGACAATTAAGATAGTTTACTGGAGTAAATGGAATTTTTCCGGGTATTCACAGACATAACTTTGAATCCAGCCCAGTGTCTAATATTATTTTAAACTACCTTCTCCAAATTATTATGAATTTGTCTCCCTGTCAAGTGTTAACAGTTTAAATCTTTCCTATCCCTCCCCCGCCTTTTGTCCGCCTTCTCAATAATGGACTGAGATTACTTCAAGGGCAGAATATTTTTTAAGATATTATTCATAACATACTGTTCCCAATTTCAGATTTATCTCAGTTTGGAGAGGTGATAACAGCAAAAGAACTTACTCTTTCAATATGAAAAAGGCAAACCCTAATGTATAATCAAATATAGCTATCACAGGAAAAGAGTATTTTAAAGCAAGGACTGCTGGTTAAGACTTACTATAATAAAATTGTTTGACGTTGGCTGAACCAGGAGGACATATCTTCCATTACCTGAGAGGCAAATGTGTGCTGCCAGTCGTGGGTCTCGGCAGCCTTTCCAAATAGAAGGGGGTTGTTTTATGCTTTGCTTTCTGGAGAGGCCTGAAGGGTATGCTGGACATCCTGCTGTTCTTTTCTCAGTCAAACACATGTAAATACTGTCCAGTGCCACTCTGTCTCTGATAGAAATGCCACATTCTAAGTCTTGACTTCCTTAAATATCTATGCCTTTTGTCTTTGAAATTGCTTGTTAAATACTAATTTTATAAATAGTTCAGCTAGGAAGAGGTGCTGCGATAATGGTAAAGTCTTGCTTGTGTATAGTACCACATTTGGAATTCTATCTACATTACCTTGTGACCAGATCTATCACTTTGTTTTTATGTCTAAAAAATGCTGGTAGGCTATCAATAACATCTACTTAGAGGTCATCTGGTGTCTGTGGGCCACTGGTGGGGGTAGGCGGGGAGGTGTGAGCCTTAAATCTACATAATTGGTAAACTTGTCAGATTATGGAAGGTGATGATGATCAGCAGGAGAGCTATGCTCAGTAAAACACCCTGAGTATGTTATATGTTGTCTCCTGACAGATGGCTCCAACCCTTATACCTTGAAGCTTTGCTTCTCTACTTCATCCCATTTATAGAGAAGAGGACAGCATGTTAAGAGCTACGTTCACCGTGATTTGCAAGTTTAAAACTACACTTCGTTCACAAAGCTCTAAAGTGGTTGTTCTAATGTTGCCTTGTTTCAACTTAATTCTAATATCTTTTATCTTGTTTTATAATAAATGGATGTTCCTTCATAAATACAAAACAGATTTTTTTCTTTTTGCCTCTGAGAAGTACATGTTGTAAGCTTACTACAAAGTCTGTATTTTGTTAGTGTAGTATCTTCAAGTGTCTAAAGAAGCAGCAGTAGTATAAACAAGGTTGTTTTCTTCCAAAAATGAAATATATTTGCATTTTTGGTAATGTTAAAGATTAGCAAGTATTTTTCCATTTGTAGTCTTAATTGGCAGATAGAACTATTACATCAGAATTTTAAATGTAGAACTTGTTTTTCAGTATGTTAAGTAGTGAAGTATGTTGCAATACTAAAAAGCTTGTATTTATAAAATGCTTTAATCAGGTTAATGTTGCACATACCGAATTTTTAGTAGTATAGTCTTGATTTATAGGTCAAACAAAGCTAACGTAGAAAATTATTAAGTATGTACACGTGTATTGTGTGAATTCATACTTATTTAAAATGGTTTTGTTTTGTTTTTTGGTTTTTTTTTTTTTAAACCGTTTTCCATTTGCATTAGCATGATGCCATCTATAGCTAGTCCCACTGTAGGGGCCTTTTAAAAATTAAAATTGCAAGCCTGTATCAATGTGTTCATCCTCATTTTCCATAATTTAAACTTAAATCTTTGGTGTTTATCATATCCTCTTGACTTTTTTTTTAAATAGTGATTATGACATACTAAATGCTAAAAGTTGGATATGTGAGAAGATTGATCGCAATAGAAACCAAGGTGGTAAACATAGTTAAACCAAAAAGCAAGCCCCACCATACTCTCCCATACCTGGGCAGTTAATTCAATGTTTTCTTCTGTCTGATTTATCCTATACATCTGTTATGACCATGAAAGAATTCGTAGGGTGAATAGACTTGGCTAACCTCTCACTTAAACTGAGGTGGGATTCAGATAATGTAACTAATTACATGATGTGAAATTAATGAGGTGAGAAATCTTTCACTTTGGGGAAGATGATTTGTTTTGTCCCAGTGCTTTGAAACCTCTGTTCTCTCTTCTAGAGCTGGAGTTGCGTCTTGGGCTAAACCCCCAGAAATGGGAATCCAAGCAGAAAAGTCTGGGAGCTGTTGTCCTAGGCTCTGTGCAAATTTCTAAATTTGCAGCGAAGTGTTTAGGGCTTCTTTTAGTTCTGCTCTTAGTGATCAGAGAGAAGTTATTTTATCAGATATTTTATGTTTTATCATACAAGTTCTTTGTTCTGTCTTTACGGATTTTATCCATATCCATCCATTATGCAAGATTATTTGTGCAGTATGCTTGTCCTTGAGAGATTATGTTTCAGTATGTTTACAGACTGTGGGCATTGCACGTCTTTAAATACAGACTGGATTTTCCCCATTCTTAATTTCAAGGCAAATACACCTTGTCATACAAGGGAAAATGTGTCAGCTGTCCTTCATTTTTGCCCTGTCTACCTCCATTTTGTTCATGCTTCAGGTAATGAGTACTTCAGGTATTCAAATCAGGCTTCTAGTATGTCTGAACTGGGAACTGAAGGACAGCTGCTCTTTGGCAGCTCTTTCTGCATAGGGTTTGGAATAATACTAGCCTCCTGCCTGGTAGGTGGCAAACGGACTTGCATTTTAGGGACACTGTTAATACTTTTTCAGCCTCAGTGCTTTCCCCCCAGAAGTTGCTTCCAGAGAGCTCCAGTGTGGAAGGCTATGTGCCATATCTTGCTATTTGCCAACAGAAATGCTGGGTACTTGTGAAAAGTTCTGTGCTGCCTAGTGTTTTAACTGTAAAAGGTCTCTCCCAATCATTCATTTTTCTTCCATCAACTTGAATGTGGAAACCTGTTTCTTCTGTCATAACTTGCATTGCTATTTGTTTTAATGTCGTTCCAGAAGTCAAGTTGTTTGTAGTTGAGCATTAAAAATAGTATGTTATCTGTTGGTCCAGTTTGGGATGTAGGATGAGTGACCCTTAAAGCATTTAGGTTTTACAAAAAAAAAAAAAGGGGGGGGGGGGGGGGGGGGGGGGGGGGGGGTGGGGGGGGAAAGCACTTTAATGTTTCAGTGTCCTCAGTGGATCACAGCATTCAGTGCCTAAGATGTTCAGGTGAAAGGCATCTTTCCTGTGGCTGCCCAGATCGAACAGAGGACAGTCTAGTTCCAGGTGTATTTGAGAGGACTTGATACCAGCTGGAAGTCCAATATGCAAAATGAGTAGCCTGTGCCGTGTGGAGATGAAAAGAGAGGAGACTGAAAAACTGTTCAAGCTTCTTTCTCTTTAAAATAATCATCTTTCCTGTTCTCAACTTTTACATTATTAAGATTCCTTGTTGGTGTTTTGCTGTAAAAAGAAAAGAATGTCTTCTCTTGGGTCTACAAGGATGGATGCTTGTCCTCAGGGAGGAATGAGGTTGGTCTCCTCCTTCCACAAACAAGGTCTGTGTTCACCTATAATCTTGCTCTTTAGAATAGAGCCAAAACAGTGGGACAGGTGAAGAGTTAGTTGCTCCAAGGAGAGTGAAGTTCATCTATCATTTGGCAGCGGTATTACTATACTTGTTAGATTAAAATTAAACCATTAAGGTCTCTCAGTGCAGGTTTTTTTCTGTCTTTTTTGCATAAGCCATACAAGAAAAATAGTTAACATTGCTATGCACATTCTCTGCTTGTAAACAGCTGGCATTCACACTGTAATATCTTAATGTCTGTTCCACTGTTTGTTTTGGTTTTTTAAAAGTTTATTTTTTCTATTTGATCACCTTTCATTGGAGGTAAATGATATATTGAGGTGGAGATCTGTTTGTCTTCTCTCATGATACTCTAATCCATGTTTATATTTATTTTTCCTTATATGCAAGAAGTGGGAATAGTTGCTTTTTGACTTTCTATACCACCACAGCAAGATAGAGTGTATCGCTAGGGTGATATAAGAAAAGATTTAAAAGAAACCATTTAGGAAGTGTTTGGGTGTCCTGCTTTATGAACGGAATGATACAACTTAATATGGTGTCACTAAGTCTGTCTTTTAGTAAGGAATAATGTTTGGGGTAAGCTGGCTTGTAACTGGCTGAAACCCTCTTTGTTGTAATTAAATGCAACTTGCTCCTTTTCCTGCTGTGTGTTTTCTTGTGACCAGCGCTTGAACTTTTTTGCATATTAGGATGGTTTAGCAGGAGACATTCAGTCTCTTCTGTTAAATAATACGTTGAAGTCTGGGAACATGAACACGCTTGCTAAATTTTTTTTTTTTTTTACTTCTAGCATGTGTTTAAACATCTTTGGGATTTTTTTGTGTCCACTTTTGAAAATACCTTGTATTCTCACATCTGTAGCTACTAGTGGGTTTTTTTTAGCCATTCCAGGTTATGTCTACCCAGTCTATTGGTTTATTCCCTTGTGGCAATTACAGAGGTGGTAATAATCTCAAAAATAAGCTTGTTTGCATTGGCATAGCTTTGGCCAGAAATAGTGTGCAAGAAGTAATGGGAAAATAAAACACTAGTTATGGGCTCAGCTTCCTGTGAAGAGTTCTTAAAGCACAAAATACCATTGTTCTGATTTTGACCTTAAACTAGATGCCGCTGCGCTGTGGTTGAGAGCCTCCCATCTTCACATATCTGGTGTATAAAAGGTAACTTAGGAGTCCTGTTGTAAAACTTGCCTTGCAGTGGTTGCCTGTATCAGTTTGCATGTTTGATGCTATGACCAAGCATCTGGCATGTTATCATAGAAGAGCTGATAGTGCCCTCTGAATATGTGGCAAAAATGTGTCAGCTTTAAGGAAACAAACCTTGTTGATTTGGGTCCCCTGGTAGCAGCAGCCCCAAAGAAAGGGAAAAGTGTAAAGGGAAAAGCAGTCTGGTGCTCCATGGAGTGTTTCCCATGTGTTGATTAGCTGCTGATACTCTGGTGCTGTTCTACGTCATAGGTTGTGTTGCTCTTAAGACCAGGGAGAAAGGCCTCACTGACTAACAGCACAAGAGAAGTATCTTGTGTGACCTGATTTGCTCTGAAATTCAAGAGTGAATGGAGAATCCTGTCTAAGCAAGGGACAAGTGGTGCTGCAAGACCTCTGGAAGGAAGGCACTAAGGAACAAGGGGTGAGCACAGTTCACTAGACCTGCATATCTCTCCCGGACTGTGGGGCTGACAAGGGCGAGATGTGGACATTAAACTGCAGCTGGATGAAGTGGTCTGATACACAGGATCTCATCTAAGGCCATCCTATCTTAGAAGTGAGGTGTTTTTCACTTCCTTCATTTCTTCTAGCTTGTGCTATTTTTGTTCTTAATTTTAAAGACCACGTTTTAAATTAATCTAGGCTCTTCCCAGCCTATCTTTGCTTCTGTAAGGAATGGTCTGGGGGTGGACTGGAATGTGAAAAACGTTAATAGTATTCACCAGGGAAGTCTGAGTTAAGAAATACTTGGTGTCATTTTTCACCTGTAAAACAAGGGATTTCCTTTTTTTTTCCCTCACCTGTTAAACCTTATGCATGCTAAGTGTAAGTAAGACAGTATCTTCTTAGTTGCACCATTAAAATTGACGCCTGTGGAGAGGGGTGATCAGATGTGCTGACATGATAATGTGATGTTTCTAGCATGCCTTTCGGGTTCCTTACAAAAGCTGGCGGGGGTATAGTCTGAGATGACAATAAGCTGAAACAAATAGCTGTTCAGGGTTTGGGATGATGAGGCCCCCAAGTTCTACTGCTAAAGCATCTGATTTGATAAAGGGTGAAGAGCTTCCATTTCTAGACAGTTGTATCATCAAGTTACGGAACACAAATATTTTGTTACTTTTAAGTCTAATGCGTAATACTGTTTCCATGTTAAAAACAGAAGATTTCTTTCTCCAAGGGTTTTAATTCCCACAGGATGTGGAGGAACCTAATGCAGCCAGATTACTTGTGCTGTGCTTTGGCCATGTCCCTCTAAAGGAAATAACCTCAGTCCCTTTTCTTGTGTTCAAAAAGCTTTGGTATCTGTCCTGTGCCAAGCCTTCCTGTTCTGGCCTTTCACAGCCAGCTCCCTGGGCTAGAGCCACGTATTAATTCAGGTAGGTTCTCTGCTCTTCCTCTTCAGTGTTGCAGCTGCTGATGCGAAGTCTTAATTTCTGGCATGATTTATTTAACTTTTTCCTTCTCTGGTGTTCATGGAGCAGCTGCAGACTG